TTAAAAGTGACGGGAATTTGTGGGGAATATTAAAATTTTATTCTTAAATTAGGAAATTTGATTTTAGGGGAATTTGACAAATTGGTGTTGGCAACGCTGCCGTGTTGCACCGAAATTTACCTACTAAGAGTTGTTTGCAGGCGACATAAAACTTAGAGGCGGCAATCACAATAAAACTTGCAAGTAAATTTTAATAGTTTTGACGTACCTCTTTTTAAATTCAAAGTATTGGACGAATGAAAAACTGAAAGTCAAAATTAAGTAAAAGAATTATTTTTTAGATTAATTAACTGTCGATCATAATTTCAATTGATTTTAACTATTAAATTATTCAGTACTATTTCATTACTATTTTCTTGTACAAAATCAAAGATAACGATGAACGTGTATATAATTGTGTAAGTGAGTACCCAATGAGGGCTAATAATTTTCTGCTCACCAGACGTCGCTAGTTGACACTAAAGGTAAAGTGTTTTGTTACACAGTGTTATATAATTGAGAAGTTGGTTTTTAATATAGGTTTATCAGTTTCTAGAGTATTAAATTAATACACAAAACAATGCGTCAGTGGTTTGCTCTTTAATTTTTTTGCACATTTTTAATTTTTCTACTTTTATGAATATCTGTGGTTTGGTTTATTTATTTTTAATTTTATTAATATAAAATATAGCTAATAGTGCAGAAAGTAACAATAACCTTTACATTTTCCGAACAAATTAACTTCCCGCTATGAAATCTGTCAAATATTATACCTCACTTTCTAGTGGCGCCGCTCTGGTGGCAGAAAAAGTCGTGGATCATTAGGTACGTTTATGAATTTCAATATCATTTTTGTAGTAACGAATTGCTTGTTGCGTCAAGGTACAATTGATTGTCTAATTGTATTAAAAAATGACAATTAGAACTTCTAAATTCCATATGAGGACTAGTCGTAGGGATCACTAAACTTATAAAATAAACGTTTGCAATGTCGTAACGGTTTAACGATCTGTGGAAATGATCAAAGTGCTTATACCGCAAGGACGTTAGGACGCACGCACTTAGCGGTAGGCATCAGTTTTGGCGGAATTCATTATTAATTTTAGTTTTGAGACAGTTCCGTCTTGACTGTTGACTATCACGTGTGTGCGAGTGACAGTTCAGTCGTTTTGTTTATTAAGTTCTTGTTGTACTTATTATTATTAGTCTTGTTGTTACTTTTTGTGCTTCTTGTTTTGTTTTAATAATGCCTAACGCGTACGCTTATAGTGCTCGTGAATACGGCAACATGTTAATGTGCCTTGTAGAATCTCATAAGGCCACGGAGAATTTAGATCGGTAAGATGTTTCATACCTATTTTTTTAAATAACTTAGTACTGAACTGATCTGAATAGGTATATAACTGAATACATCAGAATAATAAACATACCTACACGATGGATAAAAAAGCATGACTCAATCGTTGATAAAATTTCATTTATTCATTAGCGGGGAATCGAACCAGGTATTTGGTTTATTTAACATGTGAATTCGAATTAAAGTGGCTAGGTGGAGACTAGCCTAGTGGCAAAATAGTAGGTTAAGTAGATAAGTTAGGTATTTAAATATGTGTTGTAAATAATTAGGTATTGGTACGATCGCTAGCTGCTGGCCGCGCGGATTCGGCGTCATTTCCGCGCGGATTCGGCGTCATTTCCGCGCGGATATTGACTCTATTCCACTGCTGGTTTTATGTTTAAGTATTTTTATGATTTTTTCAATGAAATTATCGTTTTATTTAGCTATACTAACATAATGGACGGTGAGTAAAACTAATAAAACGTTGTGACAAGATGATTATTTTCCTCGTGATCGATTTTTTTTCCGACCCATCATCAAAGGTATCGCTAGTACTATCGTCTGTCTTCGTTTTCGGGAGCGTTTCACAAACACGCTATAATTGTTCCGGGTTGGAATGACCAAGTGCAATATATGAATTTGCAATACATTAGGATAACTTTTTTCCAAGGGTGGTAATGATTTTTTTTGATAAAAAAAATATAAATATAATAGCCATAAATTGTCTAAATCCACAAACGATCAGAAACAGAAACAGAAACTTTTTTTATTCAATATAGATTATAAATAATACTTATTGAAAGTCACTTTTTTGTTTAATTACCACTGGTTCGAAAAAAAACCTCTGTCCTGGGAAGAACCAGCAAGAAACCCAGCGGGACTTTTTTTAAATAACAACTTACAATCATGTATGTTATACAAATTAACAACATAACAAATTAAAAATAGCTTGGTAGCGATCACTTCATTCCAAGGGGTTATTATCATCCATAAATTCTTTAATATTATAATAGGCCTTTTTATACAAATTTAGTTTAATAAAGTTTTTGAACTTTGAGCAGGTCAAATTTTGTATATTTTCTGGAATTTTCTTGTAAAAGCGTATACATTGCCCTAAGAATGAATTACTGACTCGATGGAGTCTAGTAACTGGTACTACTAGCTTGTGTCTGTTCCTAGTATTTACGGAATCAATATCATTTATTTTTGTAAAACTACTTTTATTTTTGTGTACGTACCGTACATTTTAATAAATGTATTGAGAGGCCAAAGTTCATATTTTTTATTTGTTACTAGTGATACTGGCTTCATCAAGATAGGATCTATTAATGTGGCGTTGTGGTTTAGACTTTAGATAAACAAGGACATTTAGTTTTTGAATAAAATATAGCCTAGATCTCTCCTGACAATGCTCACTATGTGTTTGTAAATATTCATCATATTCGTTTCAGTCATTCCGACGATTATCCCGGATAGACAGACAGACAGACAGATAATAATTTAAAAAAGTCGTTTATATCTTAATAGCATGCAAATACTCTCATGAGCTTAATAGGAGCCAGTTATTTCAATAACGACGGTTCAAAAAAATTGTATTTATATGTATAGATTATTAAGCATAACAGCAAGTTGTTTTTAGATTTAAAAAAAAACTGCATTCATTCGCACTCGATTTACCTACTTATCATCATCATCATCATCACTAGACCGTAAAAGTTCATTGCTGGCCATGGAGCTATCCTTTTCTATAGGGAGGATTTTCCTAAGTTGTCACGCTTGGTTGGCGGATTTCGTCAAAAAAAAATCAATAATTGCGTACTCTTGATTTTATGTTCGTAAGCCAGAAATATATTGTTAATCTTTCCAAATAAATACTACAAAGCAATAAAACCTATTATGAACCATTTATTACGTGGCAGAGCCACTCTACAGGTACGAGTATATTTTGTAGCGCGGATGGGTCGGCTCGACCGGAGAAGGACCCCGCTCTCGCAGAATACCAGCGTCAAATATCATCATAATGCTGCAGTGTTCCGTTTGGTGAGTGTAAAGAACCTTTTTACTGGATACGAGGCATTCCATCTTAGTCCTCAGGGGTGACAACGCATTTGCATTTGATTCGTGGATAAATGTAGATATATTTGTTCCAACGTATCCATTTACCATCGAGTGGACTGTGTGCTTATACCAAAAAAATTGTTAAAAGTGTATATCCCAAATTTGGCGTTTAAATTTGTTGGATAAGTAATAGTATAAGTCCGTATGATTAAAAGAATATGTAAACAAAATATTGTTAATGTGTTGTACCTACTTGTACTGTACTTTGATATTTTTTTTAACATTAATAGCTTCCTATTTAAGTTTTACATATTTAGTACTCGTAACATGACTTGACTGCATAAACAATTTTACGTTCTTCTAATTATCTTGGAAAATTCTAAATATTTGCCTTCTGCGATCTGTGCAAAGCTTTTGATTGTAACGAACACGTGTATTTATTACTTTACAGCTACGGCGTTGGTAACTGCACGTAAGATCCACTGTCGACTGTCGATCGGTATTTTTGAGCGTCAATTAAACATAAGATTATCTGGTACTAGTTCTTAAGTTTAACGAGTAAGCGTTTGAATAAGTATTTCGCAGGAGTGAATTGGTGGTTCATTTATATTTTTACTTTGTTATTGAATTGTATCTTAGTTGAAATGATGGGATGGGATGGGTGAGGTAAAAGTGAGTAATTTTGTATTTAATGCGGGCGATATATTATATTCTCAAACATAATACAATCCACAAGATGACTTTGGGAGAAGATTGACTTTTAATAAGTATTTTATAATATTATGTTTGCTCTATATATATTGTAATGATAACACATAATACTGTACTTAATTATTTATTTGAACTAGGTTTAATTTTACAATATAATACGACAACGATGTAATGGGAGCAAAAATGTATATATTGGCCATAGATAATATAAAAAAGTCTTTCATTTGTCGCGTCATAGACATGCGCTTTACGTTTATTGTTTATGGACATTTCCTCAATGTCCAACAGTCTCTCCCACGTTATTATTTTACAGGTTTAGCCGATCCGGTTTCCGGTTAATTTCAGGTGTGTTATTGCTAGTAGTAGCTTCTCCAGGTAATGTAGGTTGTGCCGGTTCTTGCTCTAGTTGTTTTTGCACCGGCAGATGTTCCTTTCTAGGACTTTGTGAAAGAGGTGCAGCCTGTATCTTTACAGGACTGGATTGTGGAGTTTCCTTCATTTTAGGATTGTTCTCTGTAGGTATGGCTTCTTGCAGATGTCTCGAATTTAGCTGATAGGTAACTGGTATGTAAGGGTTTTCACTAGTACACAAGGTTTTGATAATTTGGTCCACATGCCTATGGTTTATCGTACCATCTACTTCTACCTCATAATGTAGTTTTCCTCTTCTGTTTATAATCTTTCCGAATTTCCATTTATTGCTGTCATTCATTCTGATCTGTACTCTGTCTCCTCTGTTAAATTCTTTGGTTGCTTTTATATTATCATTCTTGTATTCCTTTCCTGTATCTTCCCTTTTCACTAAATCTATCCTTGTTCTATACAATCTCTTAAACATCATTTCTGCAGGGCTTAGTCCAGTAGAGCTATTTGGTGTCTTCCTATACATCATTACAAATTTTTGGAGTTTGTCCTATAATAATCCTTCTTCATTAGCCATTGCTTTTAGTTTATTTTTGAATGTCTGAACATATCTTTCTGCTTGCCCGTTTGTGGAAGGGTGAAACGGTGCATTGAACTTTACTTGAATTTCATTTCCTTTCAAAAATCTTAACATTTTATCTGACCGAAACTGTCTACCATTATCCGAAACTTGAGTGATTGGTAGGCCAAATGTGGTATATAACTTTTTGAGTATATTTATGGTTGATAAAGATGTAATAGACGTCGTTGGTATGACTTCTAACCACTTTGTATAAGCATGCACAACAATAAGGAAATATTGATTCATAAATGGTCCTGCATAATCTGTGTGTATCCGGCTCCATGGCTCTTTTCGATGTTCCCAACTGTGTACTGGTACTTTTACAGGGTTTTTCTGCATCAGGCAGCACAGCTTGCATTGTTTTACTATCTTTTCTATATCTATATCAATATTCTTCCACCACACATAACTTTTTGCTAATGCTTTCATCTTAACATGCCTGTATGCGCTGAATGTAGTTCATCTAAGATAATGAGTTGTAACAGTTTGAGTATAACAATTCTTATTCCTTAAAAAATGCAGTTGCTTTGTAGAGAATATTCATGAAGTCTCTTAGGGTCACTTCTACCTGATTGTATATCCATGTAGAGCTTTTGTAAGTCTGGGTCTTTTCTAGTAGCTTCTCTAATTTCTTGTAGTGTAACTGGCATTTCTGAGATTTGATTTAAGTAAAATGCATCATCATCTGTCAGATTGTCATTTTCTGTTTCTGTCGACTTATTTAATCTTGAAAAGTAGTCAGCATTTGCATGTTCTGTTGTCTTTCTGAGTTTTATATCGTAGTCAAAACCTGCTAAGAAATTTGCGTAGTGCACCAGTCTAATCGCTGTAGTAACCGGTGTAGCTTTTTCTGGATGTAAAATTCTAGACAAGGGTTTGTTGTCTATAACCAATGTAATTTTTCTTCCGTAGCAGTATTGGAAGAACTTCTTTAGTCCCCATATCAACGCTGCTGCTTCTTTATCGAGTTGGCTGTAACCTTTCTCAGCTTTAGTTAAGGATTTTGATGTAAAGGCAATGGGTCGTTCAGTCTTGTCTGGCATAATATGTGATAACACAGCTCTAAATCCAGTAGGTGATGCATCTGTAGCAAGAGTAACAGGTAAGTTCTCATGAAAGGGTATTAAAACTTTTTCTCCACAAATTTCATCTTTTAACTCTTGGAAAATTTTTTCACATTCTTTAGACCATATAAACTCTTTATCTTTCGGTAATAGGTTGTAAAGTGGGTTCAACTTAGATGCTAGATTTGGAATGAACTGTAGATAATAATTGATACATCAGTAGGTCGCGGGCTATTCTTGATATCATTAATCTTATCTTGAGTAGGATGTAATCTATTTTCATCAATATTAAGTCCCAATTAGGTTACTGACTTTTGGAGGAATTGACATTTCTTTTTATTCAGATGTAACACATCACATTTACAATAACCACATTTTTGTAATTTCTCATAAACTGTTCTAATTCTTTGTAACAATTGAATGTATGTGCTTTCCTATATGGCTATATCATCGAAAAAATAGACTACACCATCCATTCCTTGCAGCGTTTGATCCATGTACCGTTGCCAAACATTTGGTGCTACCTTAACACCAAACATTAATCTTTTCACTTTATAGGTACCTTTACATGTACTGATGGCCTGCATCTCTGCTGTCTCATCACTAGTTAACATGTGTAGATATGCTTGATTAATATCAAGTGTGCAGAAGTACTTTCCACCACTTAATTTTGAAAAAATTTCTTCAATTCTTGGAATTGGATAGTTGTCATTTTCAAGACTTTTATTAAAAGTTGCTCTATAGTCTGCACTTAAACGTACCTTGCCATTTTGTTTAATAACGGGGACGACAGGTGTACCCCATTGTAAGTATGTGACTTTTTCATACGAATGTCTGCTTTTTCCAGTCTGTCAATTTCTGCTTCCACTTGATTTCTCAATGCAAATGGTACAGATCGTGGTTTCAAAAATATTGGTACTACTCCATCCTTTAGTTTAAATGATGCTTGAAAATTGTTAATTTTGCCAATTTCTTCTGTAAATAATTCTTGGTATTCTTCTAATAAATTTTGTAGCTTTACTCCAAATTCCTGTTCTGTTATATCACTTTCTTCTTTATATTCTATATATATAGAGTTAAGGTTAAATTGTAACTTAAGATCTCTGAGCCATTCTCTTCCAACTACTGGGTCTACCTTCCTGTCTATAATGAATCATCATTCATCATTACAGCCCTTCACAAGTCCACTGCTGAACATAGGCCTCCCCCAAAGAATGCCACAAAGCACGGTCCTGAGCCACCTGCATCCATCGACTTCCTGCATGTCTTACCAGGTCGTCACTCCATCTCGTGGGGGGACGCCCTACACTTCGCCTACCGGTACGAGGCTGCCACTCGAGAACCTTTCTTCCCCATCGGTTGTCGGTTCTTCGAGCTATATGGCCGGCCCACTGCCACTTCAGCTTACTAATCCGTTGGGCTATGTCGGTTACTCTGGTTCTACTGCGGATATCCTCATTCCTAAGTTTATCACGCAGAGAAACTCCGAGCATAGCCCTCTCCATAGCTCGCTGAGCGACCTTGAGCTTCCTCATACGGCCAGCAGTGAAGGACCACGTCTCAGTTCCATAAGTCATTACTGGCAACACGCACTGGTTGTACAATTTCGTTTTCAGGTTTTGAGGTATGTCTGACGAGAAGATGTGTCGTAGCTTCCCGAACGCTGCCCAGCCGAGTTGAATCCGTCGATTGACCTCTCGGTCGAAGTTGGACTTACCTAGTCGGACTATTTGTCCCAGGTAAACATACTCGTCAACAACTTCGAGCTTAGTGTTCCCAACAACTACCGGCATAGGTGTGACATGGACATTAAACATGATCTTTGTTTTGTCCATGTTCATCTTAAGACCTATCCGTTGGGAAACACTATCGAGGTCATTGAGCATAGTGCTTAGGTCCTCCAGCGATTCTGCCATAAGGACTATATCGTCGGCAAATCGAAGGTGAGTGATGTACTCGCCATTGATGTTGATACCGTATCCTTTCCAGTCCAGAAGCTTGAAGACGTCTTCCAATGCAGCGGTGAAGAGTTTCGGGGATATGACGTCACCCTGTCTTACACCTTTCTGCAATTGGATAGGTTTCGTACTCTGGTTCTGTACTCGGATAGCCATCGTAGCCCTACTGTACAAGCACTTCAACACTTCGATATACCGACAGTCAACTTGGCACCGCTGAAGGGACTGCAGCACCGCCCAAATTTCGACGGAATCAAAGGCTTTCTCATAGTCCACATACGCCAGACATAGTGGCAAATTGTACTCTTCGGACTTCTGTACAATTTGCCGAAGGGTATGTATGTGGTCTATGGTGCTAAAGCCCTTTCGGAAACCGGCTTGTTCGGGAGGCTGGAAGTCGCCAAGTCTGCGCGCGAGACGATTCGTAATGACTCTCGAAAACAGCACGTAGACGCGGCTCAGAAGGGAAATCGGTCTGTAGTTCTTCAAGAGGGCGTTGTCACCTTTCTTGAAGAACAAGACCACCGCACTTCTGCTCCACGCCTCCGGTGTAATGCCACCATGGAGGACGGAATTAAAGAGCTTCTGAAGGACTTCAAGTACCGGTCTTCCACCCGCTTTCAGAAGCTCCGCTGTAATTCCATCCTCGCCTGGGGCCTTACCGTTTTTAAGGTGCTGGAGAGCCATTCTAATCTCGCTCAGACTGACGTCCGGGATATCTTCGGAATAGTGTCGGATGAGACTCGCTCTTGGATCGTTACTCACACTTGCGTGTGGCTCCAACGATGACGTGTACAGCTGCCCATAGAACCTCTCAATCTCACTCAAAATCTCAGGTGTCCCGGAAACGATGCTGCCACATTCTGTCTTCAGCTTTGACAGTTGGCTCTTTCTGGCAGACAGATCTCTGGCAAAGACTTTGGAGCCTTGGTTCCGCTCGATCGCTTCTTCAATACGAGCTGTATTGAAGTTGCGTAAGTCCCGCCGCATGCATTTAGAGATCTGTCTGTTCAGATGCCTGTATGCTGTCAAGTCTGTTGAAGAATGTAGCTTCATCTCCCGTCTAACAGCCATGAGATTAAGAGTGTGATCGGAGAGTTTTTGTGTTCTTCTGCGGCGGGTCTTGCAGAACTTAGCTCCGACCGCATGGACAGTTTCCACGAGCTTGTCATTCATATCGTCCACTTCATTGCAGTCTTCTAGGCACTGAAAACGGTTTTGTAACTCGAGCTGAAAGGTCTCGGGACTTTGGAACAGAGCACGAGGGGGACGGAGCGTTGACTTCATTAGACGAGACCTCTCCAACTTAACGTTTAGGTTCAGTGTGCCTCTAACCATTCGGTGATCGCTACCAGTTTTCACCCTCGCGATCACGGAGACATCACTGAACAGTTGTCGTCTGGTCGTCATAATGAAGTCAATCTCATTTTTTGTCGAACCCTCGGGGCTCGACCAGGTCCACTTCCTGTGGGGCCGCTTCTGGAAGAAAGAGTTCATCATAAAGAGTCCCTCTTTCTCCATGAAGTCGGCCAGCTGCTGGCCCCTTGGGTTCCGTTGCCCTATTCCAAATTTCCCTACTTTCAGCTCACCGTTCTCTCTTGTGCCTAGTTTTGCATTGAAGTCTCCCATTAACACCGTATATTGGGTTTTGGAGGAATGCATGGCTCTAGAGATATCCTCATACATTTCCTCCACCTCCCCATCGGGGTGTGCCGAGGTTGGTGCGTAAACCTGTATGACCTTCAGCGAATACCGTTTGGTGATTCTGAGTATAAGGTACGCAACCCTCGTCGACACACTCCCGATCTTTACAACGTTGTTAACGAGAGACTTGTGGACGATAAATCCGACACCTCCTTGGGACAGATGGTCGCCCTCCCGGTGATAGAGCAAGTTGCCGGATTCGAGGATTACCGTGTCCTCCCCCTCTCTTCGGACTTCGGATAATCCTATAATATGCCAGCGCAACTTGTCTATCTCTTCTTCCAGCTCCACGATCTTCTCGTCAGTCCTCAGGGTGCGTGCGTTGTACGTTGCCAGGTCGAGTCGTCTAAGGTGGCAACCGAACCTCCACCGGAGATTCTTAGCACCCCCTGCCCCGCCGTTACCATGGTCGCCACCGTAGCCAGGAATAGCGGGGCCGCCGGGGACTGGGGGCCGTCTCTTAGTAACTTTATTCATTTGGGGGGTATTTGCCATAGTTGCCACGCTTGGCGAGCGGGTTGGCAACCGCAGTTTTTTTTATTGTCTGGCTATTATCAGGAAGATGCTGCTGCCCATCTCCTGCCTGTTTCCCTTTGTCGCCTTTTACGACACCCACGGGAGGATATGGGGTAGTGGTATTCTTGACCGCCACTACACGGCTATAATGAATATTCTTCCTATAATTTGTCTATTATTGTATGAAATTTGTATTTTTGAGGTTCCAAGAGGTTTTATAATTTCTCCGGTGTATGTTCTCAACTTAACTGCAGTATTTGTTAATTTTGAATCTCCAATCTCTTTCAGTCCTGCCACGTAGTTTGCGACTGATTCATACTCATTCTGTGTTCTGAGACAGAACTTGTGTTGCTGTGCCACTTCCCCGGGCTCCGGGGCTATATGATTGCTCAGGATTTTCCCAATTTATTGTAGGATTTTGCTTCAGGTGTACTTGGTGCCGTAATGTTTTTTAAAACTTGATAGTATTGCGGACCAATGCAATTTAAAAATATTTGTAATTTTGTAGTGTCGTCCTCCCTTTAAAGTGACGTAATTATGTAATCTTTGTAAATAGCTCGAGAAGCTTTCATTTATTTCATCATATGGTTGTAAATTAATGCCACTAACTGGCTTGGTACCTTGCTCAAGTAATGCCCTTTGTAAATTAGCTTGCTGTGTTTGCATACCTCGTATTGTTTCCATCATTTGCGCCAGTACTGCCGTTACTTGTTCCATTGTAAATTTTTATATGATGGGAAAAAGGAATTGCGTAAAGTGGGTTATCATCACAGGATATGGAACCCCTGGATGTAAGGAATATAAAGGCAGGTGCGTGCACGTGCTTCACAAGAATGAGGTTATATAAGCAAGGCACTTTTAGTATCACATTGTAGTTTGCGTGGATTTAATCACGTCATCAATCATCGGGAATATAAAATAACTTAATTAAACGCGATAAAATCCGTACAAGTAGTTTTATTCAATGTGTAGTGTTCGCGTAAATATAAGAAATCATTATGATATTTTTATGTTCGAGTGGATGGTTTAGATTTACAATTGGACCCGGTAGGTGGCGTTGTTGTCGAGATCCATAAATCACCCGTACGAAGCCGGGGCGGATCGCTAGTATTGAATAAATAAGTTTCTGTTTCTGTTTCATAATTTACTTGTAGTCAAAATATATCTGGAGACTATCAGAATCTTTTTTTTTATAGGATAAGGGTGACAAACGAGCACACAGTCCACCTGATGGTAAGTGGTTGCTGCGGCCCATAGACATCTACATCTCTCCTCGCTTGCGAATCAAAATGCAGATACGTTGTCAGCCTTGAGGACTAAGATGGAATGCCTCATTTCCAGTAAAAAAGGACCACCTGCACTCACCAAGCGAAACGCAGAGGTTAAACTTCTACTTCACGCTGGTATTCTGTGAGGTCGTGGTACCACCCCGGATCGAGCCGGCCCATCCGTACGACAGCAAAAGCTGCCGCGTGGCTCTACCACTGTTTAAAATCTTTTTATAATATGATTGGTTACTATTACTTACGTTTTTATTTAAAGCATGTCATCTTCCCACCAGAAATATCTTAATTCTCTATATATCAAAGTTAGTCTGCGCATAAACAATGAAACCAGCAAACGAATTCTTTAGGGTGACTCCGACTAGTCACCGCTACCACAGTTTTCTAGACAAACATTAATTTAAAGTTATTAGTAACATTAATTTAAAATTTAGAGTTATCGTCATCTAAACAAGTGCTGGACAGTTTTTTTTTTAGATACTTTTCAGTTGCATTTCTTCTATTCTTCGTCGCATGATGACCTAAAATGTTCAAATTAATTTTTTGTCCATTGAATTTATGGTCCATTCAGGTCCATTTATATATTGAAATTACTTTATACTGTTAAATGAAGTCATTTTGCATTTATTTAAAAACAGACTGCGCTATTTTATATTCTGGAATTATACTACAATCTATAATTAAAATATAATCAAAATCTAACTGGAGACGTTTGTTTCTCATAAAATTTATGGTTCTATCACAATCGTATCATTGCTTTAGAAACTTGAAATAGTGTAGCTACTTATTTTCGTTGTCTATAGCACATCGTCTTCTCACAAAGAACAACATATTAATGCTCTTTACATTTTTATTTTGGATATAAAGTAGATTTCAAAATCTATAGTCTGAGAGCTGGCGAAGAATTTTAGGAAGGTCCTTTGGGCAAGTTGAAATTGTGAAAAAATATAATTTCGTCAATTGGCGAATCCAGTCCCGCTAATCTGGCAGAGCGTTTTCGGTTATTTCGGTACTGGGCAGCATATAACATTTGCAAAAAAAATCCAAAAAATGTTTTTGTGGCAACTTGATTTCGTTTTTATCTTTTAATTTAGTTTTTATATAATTCCAAAAACTAATTCCAGACGTTTTTGTTGGTTATAAAGTATTACCAGACCTCTCCAAAAATATTTTTTTTAAATTCCCAAAGAATATACTTTTGGCAATCCCGAATTTTAATCACGTATTTATTGAGTAATTTTTAACAATACCTGCAAATCGCCAGACGAATTTAGCGGTTTTAAATAATTCCCAGGCGCGAATAAAATTTAAAAATGAATACGACAAAAAGTCTTATGCGTAGCCATAAGTGCGAGAAAGATAGCTTATCGAAGCATGCCGACAGTGGATGGAGGTTAGGCTCCTCACGCTGTGATTGGTTATTAGGAAATATATTTTTTAAAGATTTTAAGACAAAATTCTTGTTTTAGGATTTAGCATGTACCTATGTATGCGCATATATCTAAAAAAAATCTGTGTCTATAGTTTGAATTATTTTAGATCAGTGCTGTAATAATTTGTATAATAGCTATTACTTTTAACCTCGTATTAATAGTAAACTTGGCAATATATGTTTTGATAATTACCACCCGTGTAATACGTGATTAAAATTCGAGATTGCCAAAGTATATTCTTTGGGAATTTAAAATAAATATTTTTGGCGAGGTCTGGTAATACTTTATAACCGACAAAAACGTCTGGGATTATTTTTTGGAATTATATAAAAACTAAGTTAAAAGATAAAAAATAAATCAAGTTGCCACAAAAACATTATGTGGATCTTTTTTTGCAAATGTTATATGCTGCGCAGTAACGAAATAACCGCAAATGCTCTGCCAGACTCGCAGGACTGGATTCGCCAATTGACGAAATTATATTTTTTTACAATTTCAACTTGCCCAAATGACCTTCCCAAAATTTGTCGCCAGCTCTCAGACTACTAGTATGTATTTCTGTTTCAAAGTCAGACATCCTGTAAACAATGAAAATAGCAAACAAATTCCTTGGGATGTGACTAACTAGTCTATATTATACTACTACTGTTTATTAAAGGAACCATACTTCCTGTATTAGTTCTTACTATGATGATATGCTAAGGTTTTAATATCATCATTAAAAATAGTGCTTATTAGCTTTTAGATACTTTTCAATAACAGTTCGTTTATTCTTTGTAGGATGCAGTAATTCAGATAAAATTGAACTGAAATATTTTTCAGAAGATAAATTATTATCAAAAATGGTCTAAACGTGTAATGATTAATAATATTATAAATAAATCTATTAAGACTAATATATTTAAACCGATACAAGCGTAGATGGATATGCAAGTCAGTCACAGTGCTAATTCTACTGGCGGCGGACGCGCAGTCGCCTCGCGCGGGAACACATCACGACAAATCGACCGGACCGTTCCGTAATGAGCTTAGCCCTTTCGAACCCCAAAATCTTGTGTTAACCACCGCACCTGTGTATAGAAACACAACTTATGTGATGTTTACTTGTGTTGAGATCACCTGTATAGTATTCACACGCAAACACATATGTTTTCGTTATCAGTAAAACACAACACAGTGAATTTGTACTTATACGTTGACATTTCTTACGAATTGAAGCGTTGTAAAAATGCGTAAAACCTATAATATTTAAAAAAAAAAGTAGTCTAGCTATAATGAGATTTAAAAAAAAACTGACTGTATAATTGCAAAATGTTATTTTTAGTCACGTTTTGCTGGCTTGAAATATATTAAAAATTTTATATATAGGTAACGCAGTTGTTTTCATTGTAATTACGACGTTTATTCGTAGAAATTAACAATAAAGCAAATAAGAATAAAAAAAACTCACACGTTCTAATATTTTCAGTTGGTATTATTGCTATGCGTCACCAAGAAATTATGTCTAACCGAACCTTTTATCAAAGATTAATCGGTCAATCAATTTGCGGGATGCATAGGCGCTATGCGTCCTTGCCCCAGTGCCGTGCCAAAGACGTGGACGTATTTAGCCCGTGCTTCCCGGCCTGTTAAATATTTACAAACTTTCTTTTAACTTCCTCGACTAAATAATAAACCTTATTGTCTTGCAATAAGGGTTATAGGGCTTGTAGATTTAGATTTGCAGCTTGTTATCCGGGCAAAAATGTGTCTAGTATAGATTAGTAAATGTGAACTTTAATGTCTTTAAATAAGACTGATTGAAAAGAATGTATTAGTTGATTGGGCTAGTTTGACTTGTTCTCGTGCTCTGACATTTCAATGCTGCGAAAAATTTTTTTCACTCATCGCTTCTCTTCTTCATTGCTATATATCTTTTGTGAGACTTTGTTCAGTATGACGTACATTTCTCGTATTTCTTCGATAAGTTCATTGAAACTTTCGTTTACTATTGTTATAAAATGTTTTATATGGCACTTCTCCATTTCTCCGTACTCTCCGTACTGAAATATATTTTTTTAAATTGTTCTATATTAATTTGATGTTTATATTACTTTTGAAATAAAACCTATTGATGCGGTTCAAGAAAGCAATATTAAGTTTACTGTTTCCTTATTCCTTAATGTAAACGAAAGACGCACCATGTTATCGTCCAGTTCAAAAGCACATGTGATCTATATTTACAGTCCATTCAAAATCTTCATCTGAGACTGGTGTTTCGTAAAGCTTTCTCTGGTTTATATCTTATTTCTATAAATATACGCTGTTTTCATAATGATTTCTTATATTTAGAATGTTGATAAGACATTGTATAACACAAATTTTTCGGATTTTATTGAGTTTAATTTAACTTGTTTTACTTATTTTTAATTCCCGTCGTTTCTGATGCAGTACCACCAGTGATAAGTAAAACATGTTAAATTAAACGCGATAAAATCCGTAAATTTAATTTTATTTAACACTAGCTGTGCCCGCGGCGTAGCTCGCGTATATAGATTTTACATAAAGAATTTGTCGTTTAGGTAAGAGAATATTAAACGATTTATATCATTACTGTATCAATAAGTGGTAACAAATAAATCATTATCATCAAAGTTCTAAGTAGTTTATGATAGAGCTTCGGTGTAAACGACGTTAGAAGTAGACTTAGACGGGGTGTACACAAAAAGTTTACGGGGGCTACTAACGCGGGAAAAAGCAACATAGAGTTGGCCATGTGCAAAACAGTCAGTACTGAGGTCCACTCTTACAACGCGTAAATTTTGACCTTGCACTTTATTTACGGTCATCGCATAAAACACGCTGACTGTAACTGGGAACTGAACGCGCTTAAAACTGAAAGGAAAGTTACTTCTTAATAGAGGGTTTTTTGGCAGTGCTGCCAGATCCAAAAAACTCATTCAGCGCTAGCACAACACAAAAAGCGCTAGATTTCATGAAAACAGCGCTTTAAAAAAGCCCTAGATTTCGCATTTCGCAGCCCTAAATTGACTACAAACAAAGTTTGTGTTTTTTATTATAATTTATAATTCAAGAAAATATAATCATAATAAAGAAAACAACATTAAGTTTTTTTCTGGCAATATTTTTTGATGTATCAATACTTCGCAGGACATCGACTTATGGCAATTGCTGTCAACAGTAGTTAGTACTACTCTAAGTAACTTTTAACTTAGCTGTGCTCTAAACAACTGACTAAAACTGAATAAAGCAAAATAAATGCGTTGCCAAAACCATGAACGAAAACTTTAATGAAGGGGATTTCCCCGCTTATAGTCGTCGATAAAAAAAATCATCCTAAAGGGGAAGCCGGGAGATCCATAGCACAGGGTATCCTAGTTTGGACTCGTCTCCCATGCTCTTTGTTTTGTGGAAAAAATATGTTTGAAAAAGATAAACTGCAATGTACTATTTGTGGAAAAAAATAATAAAGGTCATTATTATTATTATCGGTAATGTGGACTAACAGTGCTGCTATAAAAGAGTTAATAACCCGCTAGTCGCTACAATTTTGAAATGTGTGCTAAATACACCAAAAAGCGCTGGATTAAGTTCTAGGTGCTAAAATTTCGAAATGCGCGCTATACATTCCAAAAAAGCGCTAAATCTAGTTCCCAAAGCGCTAAAATGGCAGTACTGATTTTGCGTATATTATAAATACAATATCACGACATTTCGTTGCAATTTTGTTATTTTTGTTCGGGTTCCGTTGTATGGCTTCGATAGATACAAATTTCTTCAGTAAGTAAGCGAAAAATCTAAACACAGCAAATCAGAAAAGTTTGTAATTTGTACAACTCCATCTATTACGTCCTTTGTGTGAGAAAACATCCTTTTTTAAATCTCTTTTTATGTTTTAAGTATAAATATATTAATTATTATGGAACGTTTTTTTACACACAAATCTTTTTATTACTATTTCTGAGATTTTTATGGCGCCATTGAACAAATTCGAACCTACATTTTAAAATAGTAATCATTACTTTCGATAGAATTAAGCAATTTTAATAAAACAAAGATTAAATGTAACTTGAAGATACGCTTTATGATTTTCTTAACGATTTCTTTGAAAAAAAAAAGAAGATGTTTACTTTAGACGGGATGCATTCATATAAAAACAGACAAACAGACAGACAGACAATTCTAAAAATTATAAAAATGTACTTATTTAATTATTTTCAGTTCCCCATAATGATTTTAGTCACCAAAATAAATATACAATGTACAGAAAGAGACACAACATGTTATCATCATTTTTATTATATGTATATATTTAATTGAAGAGAGATGGCGCTGCTAACATCAACTTGATGACTCAAACAAAGCCACCGTTGAGCGAATTCCCTACCCATACTTCAGAATATTTATCATAACTTTTGATGGAATGAACCGATTTTAATGACCGATTTTAAAACCCGAAGATACCCTTTATAATTTCCTTAACAATTCTTATGATATAAATTAGTACTTTAAACGTGATACGTTAACAAACAAACAGACAGACAGACAGACAGACAGAAAATTCTAAAAATGGTAGAAATGTATTTAATTATTTATTTTTAGTACCCCTCAATCACTTTTATTACAAAAATATAAAATGTACAGACATCTGCTATTTACAGTTTTATTATATGTATAGATAAGCTGTTTTAAACAATGATTTAATAATTTTATTAGTTTTATTGCTTCTTTGAAATTTAATTCCTGCAACTTAGCTGTATTTATACATCAGTTGCTGCGTTCAGTTTTCACTCTGAATAATATATTAGATTCGACATTTCTTTTTAAAATATAACTAACTCATTTCTCATGCGTCGTTTTATAGGGCTAAGTTGTTCTGATTCTGGAGCAATTCGGTTCGTTTTTAATTTATTTACAAAATTATATAATATACAAAATTTAATACAAAATCTCTGTAAGACTGAGTTGCATCGAGCACATATTAGAGAATCTTTCCGTAGGTGGATTTATTATTAGTCTCTGTTATTTCAAGTTCATGTACTTATAACGGCGAGGTCTTGCGGTAAATTCTAAATATATGTATTTAAAATCAATATTTGCGTTATAAATAACCAATTTCTTTCAATTTTATTGTTATATTATTATCCCATTTATTAATAACAAGCGTACGTTTAATATGTGTTTTTTTGGCTTGATTGAACATTTCTCCTTCAGTCTTAAAAATACGGCTTTAAAGACTCGAAGGTATGTAGCTGTCTGGTGAGCTGCGGATGCTATAGTAGTTCTAAATCCTAAAATGAAAGCAGCAGTAAAACCAGAGAAACCGACATAGCCCAAAGAATCATTAAGCTGAAGTGGCAATGTACCAGTCATAGAATAGCTCGAAGAAGCGACATCCTATGGGGAAGAAAGGTTCTTAAGTGGTAGCCTCGTACCGGTAAGTGAAGTGTCGGACAAACACCCACTGGATTGACGACGGAGTGACGACTTGATAATAGATGCAGGAACTCGATGGATGCAAGTGGCTCAGGACCGTGCTTTGAGGCATTTCTTGTGGGAGGTCTATGGATGATAGCTAAATCTAATATTTGGGCAGAACAATATTACTTTTCTGGCTCTGACGTGTTGTGGTTATCCCCGTGTCTTTGATACTGTAATGAAATATGCAAATAAATTTGACCAAACTTAGGCTTTAACTATAGCATTATCATTGATTTCTATTAACAATGTTCTTCATTTGAACCATACCATTCCAAGTAAAGTCTTTTTCAGATTCTCGGAGATATGTACATGTTCAGTCTCATCTGCTAGCGTATTACACTATTTACAAGATTTTACAATTATCTTTCAACAGCCTGATTTGAAATCATTAACCACCGCTTACTTAAATTAGGTACTTATCTATGTACATGTCTCTTTCTATTGTCATTTAGTGAAATGAGGTAGAGAAAGAGCATTAAACATAAATTACGTCGATTTTGTGAGTAAGGCCGTCATTATAACCATTATAATTATTTTG